GTTGGAGGCAGGAGTGTCTCTCGTTAGCTGGTTAGCAGCAGGAGTAACAAGGACCATGTGAGGAGAGAAAGTGGGGAGAAAAGGTAGCACAGATGGGGGGGGCAAAGAGGTAGGAAGGGCTGGTTTGGTACATTACATCCTCCCTCCCTCCTTCTTTCCCAGCGACGTCCTCAAATGTTCTTCCCAAAAAACAAAAGAAACAGTCTGTCATCCTTTCCTCGCCTCTTGCTTTCTGTCTCAGTCTTTCCTTGTCACAGTCTCCTTTTTTTTTTACTCCTGTCTCCTCCCTCCATCTGTTACCTCTCTCTCATAATGTCTATTTATTTGAACATGGAGCTGTGAGGACGCATGGAGACCTAGAACCAACACCACGTGCTGACGTTACAGCTCAGCTCAGCCTGCTGCTGTAGCTGTAGCCTAAAAATAGTTTACGTGATGTTTTATATCCGACATTTTACATAAGCCCCTCACACACTAGAGTACTCCGAAGGAATTCTGCTGACCACCTGGGTGGAGACCTGCCAAAATATGATGCTTTGTTTAATTTCAGGGGGGAAAATGCATCAGTGCATACAGAAAACTCCACGTTTTTGCACACCCTTTTCCACGTATATGCGTTGAAATGTTATTTGCACCATCTTGCAAAATCAGCACACGACTGTTTTATTGGTGGTGCCGCTTGTCACGGGGAAAACCCTCGCCATGGTCTGGCAAACGCATACACACATGGACACACTCCACCTCCAGACACTAATAATAACTTTCGACCCAAGTAGTGGTGCCAGGATGTTTTGATTAGTGTGTGCGTGTGTGCACGCATGCATGTGTGTGTGCTCTTAGAAGCCTTCTGGTCTGTATTACCACAGGACATGCCAGTTCTTTGAATTAGGCCGCTCTAAAGCTTAAAGCTTCCCAAAGCAGAGTGAAAGTGAGGGGGATGAGCCACAAATTGAGAAAAAAAATGGTTGTAAAGAAACATTGTGTATATGAATGTAAAACACTGGATTTTATAGACTTGTAACGCTTGTGATAGCCGTGCATTGGTATAATCAAATCCATATTTTTACACAAGCATGTGACAACCGCAGTTTCACATTGACAATAGTACAAAGGCACAAATGGCTTGATTTCATTTGATTTTTTTAGCGCCTGTATTAACTTTGGGTGCCCTTTTTCTTTTGTGTATGTGTGTGTGTGTGTTCAGTCACTGCGCATGTGTGTGTCTGCCCGGGTTTCCCTGCTCGTGCTGTAAAGCTGCCAGAAAGCCAGACTCTCCTGGTGATCCCAGCTGTAAACATCCTGGGGGGAAACAGTAGACCGCTGCTTTCAGCACACTCATAGTAACATGTCTGCTTTAATGGTGAGCGTGTGTGTGTGTGTGTGTGTGTGCATGCACATGGACGTTTGCTTTGTGCGTTACGGGTGTGTGTATGTGTGTATATATATATAAATGCATATACACTTGTGTGTTTGGTGGCAGGGCTGTAAATGGAAACAGGTTGGTTTTGTGGTGTTCATTCCTGAAGACGATGCTCTGTGATGAGGCACCGTGTGAACGTTTCTTTTGCTTTGGCGTGTTTGCGAGGGAGTGGGGATTCGAAACGGTACACTGCGGGTTTGCTTTATCAAAGACAGGCAGGCCCGAAGGTAAACTGTGGTCCCAGAGAAGAAGTAGAAGCAAGGGGCCGCAAGTGGAGGGGGGTAGCTAAACTTGTAACTTTTCACATGACATCACCTACAAACACTAAAACCCACAATTTTCTGTCTTTTTTTGGCGGGAGAGCTATATAAAAAGCAACAAAAAAAAAGCCAACCCAAAAACAAAACGGTGAACAGACAATGATAGAGTGGCTGCTCTTTCAACATTTCTGTCTGGTGGCTTCCTGCCTCTCTGCACATTACATGGTCATTTGAGGTAAAGCGGCCACAAGCTGATGCAGGGAAAGCAAGAGGCATAATTGTACATTTTCATTATGAGTGCAGTGTGACGCTGGAGGTTTACTGTGCGCTTTAGTTATCTTTTTGGGTTTTTTTCTGTGTGGCTGAACTTTTCTGGTTTCAGCTTTTGGTTGCATAGGAAAATAAACAACATGTTAAAAATGTCTCGCAACCATCACTTATATCTATATGCCTGTGGTGTTTATTTACTTTTCGTGGAGCCCGTATATGTGTGATAAGTTGCTCAAGAAAAAAAGAAAAACAACAACATTGAAAACTTAAGCCTCTTTATTGTGACGATTTTTAAATATTTTTCACAAGCTGAGTCGCAGAGTGAGGTCTTGGTTACACAAACATCATATAGCTTAATAAGAGTACAACCTGATGGGTCTGTTTTCAAAATTTTAGGACTTCTCCATCACTCATAAATCCATCCTGGGCGAGGGCTAGGCCTTCTGCGGTGGAGCCTTTGGGTGCTTTATTTAGGCTCGTGCCCGGGCTGGTCCAGATGGACGAGGGGTGGTGCAGCTGCGTGTTCCCACAGCCTGATGTGCTTGTGCCTGCTGAATGCCCTTTGGAGGGCTCTCACTTTTTTTTTTAACCCCCCCCCCATCCTGCTTTTTTTAGGCAGTCGTCCTGTGCTTCCCCGGCCAGCCTAACCAATGTGCAGACTACTGTACAACCACTACTTCCTGAACAGGTAGTCTGAACACTGGGCAGGCGGGCCGGGCGGCTGAAGGGTAGCGCTGTGGAGGACTCTTTACTCATGCGCTCAGAATCAGATACATCACCACACACACTCTTAATCGTACTCACTGTGATTGCAGCCAGGCTCCGGGGCCTGGCTTATCTTCGCAGTCTGACTGCCGCAAAGGGCCGATCGGGGATGATTGAGTGAGCTGGGATGGAAGGGATGGAGGAGGAGGTGGTGGTGGTGGAGGAGGAGGAGGAGCGGGAGAGGTTAGACGGAGGTGATAGGCGCTGATTGGCAGATTCTGTGACATTCCTTCCTGTTTCCCGCTGTGAAAAGCAACATTCCTCACCGAGCTCTACGGGGTAAACACAAACACACAGAAAGTGTTTAATTAATGTTTAATATCAAATATAACACATTTAGAAGTCATAAATCTGTTATATGTAGCCAATGAGCTTTAATTACTCATCGGCTAATTATATGCTTTTTAATCTGAGAATTTTGGTCTTAAATATTAATGTAACAAAGTAACTAGTATTTCTTTGCAAGAATTCTGCATTTAGAAAAGATTAAAGGCAAAAAATAAAGCCCAGCACAGATGCCAAAACACACAAAAATGGTCAACCTATTTAACCCAAATTAGTGCAGCCTAAGCCCCATTTAGTTCCCTTAAAATTTCAGGCCAAACCGAACAAAAGTCATTAGAGTTTCAAGTACTTATGGTTAAAAACAGCTGCAAGTGCAAGTGCTGTTAATCTCCCTGGAACAGATCTTATCAGATAATATTTGTGGTCAGCCGAAATCCTCCCAACCCAACACGTCCCTCTAAAACGCCGGAGTATGCAACCTTTCGTCTCCTTAGACGTACGCCGAATGGAAAGAAAGAAAGCGGGGGATACCTGCGTCTTGGCGATCTCGTTTCACTTCTTTGCATCTTTCTGCGTTAGGTGATGCTTCTTCTTTCCCAAATCCTTGCTGAATTTGCCTGTTCTTTCATTCAGCGCTGCTGCCACACTGCTGAGGGAAACCTTGGCTGATCGGGGTTCAAATGCTCCTAGAGCAAAAAAGAAAAGACAAAGACAAAGGGGGATCTCCGGTAGCAGGCAAGGTGGACTGGCTGGAGGTTCGACGTGGCAAGGGACTGGCCACCAAGTTCTCCCTTTGAGAGACAGAAGGAGAAAAGGAGTGAGAGAGAGAGGAGATATGGAGAGAGAAAGAGGAGGAGCTCGCCGGCCCCCTATTTTTCCTTTCTCCTCTCTTCTTTCTCTCTCCACTCCCTCTGTCTGGCTCACCCCTCCTTTTCCAGTCTCCCTCTTCTGGCTTGCAGGGAGAAAGTGGAAGGTCAGAGGTGAACAGGAAGTGAGACACATTCATTTGGCCTGCGTGTTGTAAAAGTTTGGAAAGGGAGTGAAGGACTGGCTGCAGAGGGAGGGAGCCTTTTAGTGGAAGCGTATGTGGACGCGTTTGCGCTCTCACATGGAGGCATTTATGTGTTTCGCAAAGCATTTGCGTGTTCTCAATGCAGTGCATCGCTGCTTTTGATACATGTGAGCATACATATATAAATATATATATATATGAGTGATGGATTTGTGCATGTAGGAGTGAGCCTGGATGAGAGGAGAGGCTCCGTGGTCTTTGTAGAAAGGGGCAGGAATGTCGGCGTTTTCTTGGCAAGCAGGAGGAAGCCTTGTAATAACTCCAGATGTGCAGCCCTGTGGTCTCCATCTCTCTCTTGCTCCTTCTGTTTTTATTTCTAAAGCTGATTTCCTCTCCCTGTCCGACTCGAATAAAGAGCCCTTTATGCAGCTCTGCAGCCTTCCCAGCACACACACACACACACACAGAGTGGTGGCAAGGGGGGTGGGTTGGTTGCTGCTTGGAAGGGTGACATACGACTGGTAAATCAGAACCAGGGCGAAAGACGTGTGTGTGTGTGTGTGTGTGTGTGTGTGTGTGTGTGTGTGTGTGTGTGTGTGTGTGTGTGTGTGTGTGTGTGTGTGTGCAAAAGAGGAGGGAAAAGGCAGTGTTGAGACACAACCAGTCAAAAGTTCCTCCTTTACTTTCTAGGGCTTCACACGCACTCACAGTTAGGTTTGGTCCTTACTTCTAGCAGACAGGAGTAATTAGTGCTAGTGTTTCCAGGTGTGTGTGTGTGTGTGTGTGTAGTAGTACGTGTGCAGTGTGGTGGTGGCCAAGGCCATGTGTTTGTTTTAGCTGTGGTTTCTGAGCTCCGACCTGAGCTCCAAATCAAAGCAGGCACGATCCCACGAGAGACGAGTCAGCAGTACCGCTTGGACGGCTAGAAAAATGGGGAAGAACTTCAAAATGGGGGGCGAAACGATGCCCCATGAACAAGGAGGTCCAACAAAAAAATGAAAAAAAAAAAAACCTAGCAAGCCAGAAAAAGAGAATTACAGAAACCAATCCTCATAGGACATAAAATGGATTAGTGTTGCAGTCGAGTTTAGGCTTTGGAGGATTGGAAAGAGTGAATTTTAATGGGTAGGTGGGGGAAATGCTGCGGTCGCGCTAACATTGTTTCCACTGTTTGGATGACCAGGCAGACAGCTTACTTTTCAGACTCTTAGTCAGGGAAGCCAGAAATGCTGAGAAAGTATGCACATACACACGCGTGATCTGCGCTCCCATGTTATTCCGTCTTGCCGTGAAATACAGCTGCTTAATACTGTCACAGAAAAACCTCAAGGTTCTGACTTTGTTTTTCCTGCTTTGACAGCAGCTCCGCCAGTTCGTGGGCGAAACTGTGTCTTTCGTGCGTTGCGTGTGGGGAAGATAAGATTGCGGGTGTTGCTCTGTAAATGTATTTAAGAGAGCGCTCTGTACGTAATTGTGGAAGCAGCCTGTAAATCTGAACGGCTGAATGTGTTTTAATGTGCGTGTTTCTGTGAAACTTTGCAGCTCATTTTCTATCCAGAGACAAACAGCCATAATTCTTTGGGTAACAGAAAATGTGAACCGCATAATAGCTCGGTTATTTTTCCTTTCTCTCATGTGATAGCGTATCAGCGATACTTATCTGTTGAAAGGAGCATATTTTAAAAAGACAGTGGCTTGAGGAAAGGGCTCAGGAAACACTGGGAGCCTCATCCGTCTCATTTATCCAGCTCAGGGTTGCTGGAGCCTGACCACGCCGACAGCGGGTGAGGCCACGAGGACCCTTAACAGGCCACAACAGTCCATCACAGGGCCAAAAAATACAGAGAGACGGACACATTTTAGAAGCACCAGTTAACCGAACAAGCATTTCTTTGGACAGAGAGAACCCATGCAAAAAAGGCCTAGGCCACCAGCGCGAACCGCTTCATCACCGTGCCCCACTAAGTAACTGAAATATTTGTGGGAAGGTGCTTTTTGGCGTTAGATGGGAAAATCTATACTTTTATACTGGTTCCATAAATGTGAATCTAGCGGCAGCTAACAAACAGCCAACCTGAATCTGAACAATGCTCTACAGTCATTAATTAATGTGCCATTTGTTTGTGTTTAATACCTTTTATGAAGGGTTGTGTACCCATTTAATCTTTTCAACTCAAGAAGCACATAGATTTTCCAAAACAGCATTTAAAATGCACAGAAGACATTTTATCCATCCATCTATCCATCGTCTTAACTTATCAACCCTGTCCCAGAGTACACCCTTCAGAGGTCACTACCACTCTGATTATAAAGCTGGGTTTCTTATACATATGCAATAAAGTCTAAGTCACTCTTAAGTGCTATCTGTACCTCCTTAGACAGATTACAGATTTTGTGGAAGCAGAGATAGACAGCATGCCCCCTGAGACTTATCTTAAATAGCGTCATCGGTTTTTATTTGATAAAATGTCAGAGGCTGAGAGATAGAGACACAAAAAAAGAATGTAGCGACATGATTAAGGGGTGATAAATGTCTGTTTGAGATATTAAACATACTTAAGTTAATGGAAGTGAGCGCAGGATGATGTAGCAGGGAAAGTTAGAAAGGCTGTAAGAATGATAAAATCTGTCATGAATGGAAAAGAAGATTTGAGATTATAGAAATGAAGGGTGAGGGACACAGGCTGGTTTGTTCATATATTTAGTTTATGATATGATAATGCTGATGATGTTCCTCTTTTGGAAACATGGAGCATAGTGTGAGAACAAAAATGACCACATGAAACAAAGTATACGGGTGACTCGAGGATCCAAGTGACCACAACATAACTCACTAAGCGATGAATTTGTTTGTTTAGAGTTAAATTAAAGTGAGCTTCAGGTTCAAGGTTGGGGTTGGGCTGTCAGTAGGTACAGGGTGAGGCGAAGTTTCTAGGCAATTAATATAATTGGAGGTAACGGCCGCTGATGTGATGGAAACACAGCTGTGTATGTGTATCTGCGTGGCAATTTTATTGAGGTTTAAAAATGTATAAAACATACATTTTTGCTATTTCTGTGACTGTTTTACACATTATAAAATAAAGTGCATTTCTCCAATGGTGTATTTATAATTATATTTTGTTAGTTTTTTTTATTTCATGCTTTTTTATTTCTTTGACTTTTAGCCTGACACAGCTTTAATGCTCATGAAGTTTCACGAGACTGAACTTACTGCAAATGTCTGTGGGTCAGTGCCAAGTGTAGCATTTACATTTTCTATAAAAGCATTCACAGTGTTTCCCCCGTATTCTGACATCACGTGTTTACCTTAAGGTACATAATCCTTACATGAAAAACATGCGTGAACACTGGCAGACGCTTGCGTGCCTCATTTGCTTGTGAGGGAACTGGGGTTTCATGTCATTTAGCTGTGACTGGTTTGTACTGGGAGTTTTGCTGTGAGACACAAAACACACCAGCTGAACATTTGCCCTCCACCAGACAAGATTGCCGCCGTGTGTGGATTTTAGCGTGTGTTTATATAGTTAGTCTGCTGGCCAACCTTTCTTTTACGCTTTGGTGGTCAACGGTGATTGATCACATGTCCTTGATAGCCCCGAGGTTGTAACACTGACCTTCTGCAGGAGTAAATTCAGGGCAGATAATTGACTGTTTAGCAATTAACCACTAAACAGGAAGGTATCACTAACCTGCCAGGCTGCGTTCAACTGCAGTCAGCATGTTTCATCTCTCCACAAAGACATTTGTTCACGTTTGTGCAGTTCCCACAGGAAAATCTCAAAGCAAAGCTCAAAGGCTGTTGGGTTTTTTTTTCTGTAAGAAGGAATGAAAAAAGATAATCGAAGGAGCCAAAACCTTGTCATAAAAAAGAAAATGTGAGAATTAATGTTCATATCACTGCGAAATTGGACGTTTCAGATTAGATTCGAGTTCCTGAAACATGCTCACCTGACATGCTGTTATCAAAAAGGCACTTTTGCATGATAAATGGAGGATTATAGAGTGTGGGCCCTGGCACGTTGCTCAAGGTGATTTGTTATGAGCATTATTGCGCAATCTTTAGCCAGATGAGTCATGAACAGCTGTGTGTTTTTACACACTGCCCCAGAATAGCTCCAATCCAGCTCTTCAGCGTTGTAATTCTCTTAGCTAAATCATTGTCTGTTCCTCATTTAAATATTGGCAACATGTGGCCTTGCTTTAAATAAAGTCCAAACAGCATTAAGTCAAATTAGGTTTCCTCAGATGCCGTCTCTGTTTCTCATATGTTGCTCACAGACCAAACATGGCTTTTGCGTACGTCAGTGGGGTTTTTCGTTACACACAACGAAAAGATGCTTATGTTCACAAACAAATCTTTTCTACAAGAACGTTGTGACAAATCGGTTCCTACAAAAATCTATAAATTGATGAAATTGGTCTGAACAAGTGCATCAAACCCACTGAGCCTCACTCTATACTACTTTCTCCGTGCGCCTTTTTTAAAAGAAATCCCCTCTGTGTTTAATTTTTTTTCTTCTTAAAGACAGAAGTCAATGGGGAAAATGGCAGAAGAATGGAGGGAAAGAAAAGCAGAGGGAGGTGAGGAGGAGGGTTGTGAAAATTACCATTGGCTGCCACCCAGGGCCCAGTCTTTGTGGTAATGAAGGGTTAGAAGCAACGTTATTGCTCCCAGATGCCGTGCGGCTTCTCCGCAGGCCTTTGATGCATGGCCCAAGTCACCAGGATTTTTCTATCAGACTCCCATCAACATACGCAGTAACGCACCACCGCACACACGTGCACG